TTAACTTTTTATTTTTCGACTTTATGAGAATTAATTCGTGATAACATGCATAGGTAGTCTCGTTCACCTAGTTGTTATTCTTGGATTGCCGACTTTTGTGCCTAAACTTTTTGCTGGCTTTATTGAGTACAGTTGGAAGATTGTGAAAGAGTTGAAAGAAACGTGCCTAATTAAGAATGATTAGAAAGGATATTGTTATCGAAAAGGAACAATGTGGATGATCAGAGAATAAGTATTTACTTAAAATTTTCATAAATAAGAGTGGAATGGAATTTGAACTTAGAATATATGCCTACGAGCAATCATGTCCATCCAAGGCTAAAAACAACAAACTTGCTTTTTTATAAAGTAAACATATTTGGAAGTTGTTTATAAACTGTTTAAATTATAAAGATATGAATGAGTCGTGAATTAAATTAATAGTATTTGTGATTCCCATGAAATATGTTTATCAAAAATAATTTGATCGATTATAAACAATTTATAAATAATAGCCAAACAAGGGCTAAAGAGCAATTTTTTGTACTTAACAAAAAAAAAAAAAGGACTTGTTGGAACTTATTTAATTTATAAACACAATCGGTTAAATCTTATCCACGACTTTTGTAAAATTCACATGTATTATCTGCTTACCAATCACTCATTTTTATTTATTTATATTTTAAACTAATTATAATCTATCCCCAAACAAACGATTAGAATTAACTTTCGAAGCTCCAAACATGTTGAGCCACTTAGTGTACTAATATTTAGTTCTTATTTGGTTTGACTGAAAATCGTATTATTTTTAGTAGATTTTAATAAAAGTTGATGAGATGTGTAGTTGAAAAGTTGATAAAAATTGCGAGCTCGAAAAATTGATAAATGTATAATTCCTACGAAATGTGTAATTGAAACTGAGTTTAAACGAAAAATATTTTTTTTTTTAAAATGATGCCCAACAAGGGCTTAATGCCTTTTGTGAAACTTATATGCCAAGCTTGACGTGTTTATTTGAACAAAATTAATGAAGAGAATCGAGTTAAAATGTCATTCACAATCCAGTACTTCTCTCGTGGAGTACATGATTTAAGAGAATATTGATATACAGTATTACACAAAACTAGTAATATCATTACAAAAGAAAAAAAGAAAAAAATTCTTCTTTTCTATCCATCTTATCAAATATGTCCTTGCAGGTTGTTGCCTTTGGTGTAGCTTTCTTCGACTCTCTAGCAGTCTCCTTAGATTTCCCACGTACACGCTGTGAAAATATACTTTTGTTTTTGACATTCCATGTCTTCTTATATACGTAACACAACAAAAACATAAAAAACAATGGAGTTTGTGGTCCTCAAATATCCCTCTCAAGCTTTCCAACTCGCACCTCTAAATTCCCATTACCCCACCACTCAATATCTCCTCTATTTCTTCTTTAAAATTAGAGAAGATGAAAGAGGAGGCCGTGGAATCGGACGATAGCATGGAGGACGATGAACTTATGTCGAGTGCAACTGAGGATGATAAGAAGAAGAAGGGTGGTGGTTCTGGGGCGACGAAGAAAGGGTCGAGTGGTGGCACGAATTCAATGAGGTGTTGCCAAGCAGAGAAGTGCACGGTTGATTTGAATGATGCTAAGACTTATCATCGACGGCATAGAGTCTGCGAGCAGCACGCGAAGGCGGCAGTGGCCATTGTTGCCGGAATTCGACAAAGGTTTTGTCAGCAATGCAGCAGGTATGACAACACTCTCTAATATCTAATTATGTTTAGCTGTGGTTAAAAGCGACTTCTTAATTTTCTCCCAAGCATCCACAAATCTCGTCTTGAAAAACTCACATTTAAGCAGAGTTCAAAATGTTGATGTAATATTAAGTTTAAAGGAAGTTTAAATTCATAAGTAACTTTTTTTAGTAGGTTCTTTTTTCTAATAATGAATAACTTGTTTTGATCATAAAGTAAAGATTTAAGTAACTTATTTGTTCATGACATCGACTAGCACAGAAAAAATTATTTTGAAACTTACTTATTATGGGCCGCTTTTGTTTGGAGTGATCCCATTGGCCTTGAAATTTGTTGTTTAAGTTGACTACTATTCCTTGATCATCAATTATTAATTAAATTGTAAACATCAGGAATTTTTTTTTTATTATTATTATTTTTTGTATTATTATTGCTAAATTTATGTTTTAAAAGTTTAAATTTTAAAAAATTGAGAAATTTTTTATAGTTATATTTCTTATGCCTCCCTTATAAATCAAGTGGAATTCATAAATTAACGACGGTGAAAGTTAAACTCAATACCTTAGTAAATAATGGGATAATTAAATTTTAAGTCACATTATTAGTTTAATATGTGAACTACTTTGGTATCTTCGACACAGTTGATGTAACATGACAAGACAGCATATGAACATAATTTGTCTATTGTCTTGTCCAATTCTGTCCAAACATTTTAATTTAATTTTTGACAAAAAAAAAATTAATTATAAATATACCCCTTCAAGCTAAGCTTCCAATTTTTTACATAGAAAATTTCCAACCAATTTTTTTTCGAAAAATAGTAAAAAAAAAAAATTCAACACAGGCAGCTATGACTGCTGCCGGGTCATAGCTATCAGTTTTATATTTGTCAAAAATTTAAAAAAAAAAATGAAAGAGAGAGTCAGCAGCTCGAGTCGAGCCTAAATTTTTTGGCCAAACTTTTGCTCAGCTCTTCTTAATCCAAAAAAACCCGAACTATTTTTACTCGAGCCGAGCCTGAGCTTCAAGTTTTGGCTCGACTCGATGACACCCATATTTGTATCCGTTTTAGCATTTTTGGTAGGTAGGCTACATAAAATTTGGAAAATATTACAAATATGAAGTTAAATTATGTATTTTCTACTATTTAATTCTATTAAATACTGCATAACAATCACGTCTTCAATAATTGTTATGATCTCATCAAGGATTAGGAACTCTATAATGGCTTTTTTTTAAGAGATTGAAAATACTCAACAAAATAAGGAAAAACAAATTTCTTATACAGTAAAGTCAAACTATCTCGCGAACAATGAAATCCATAACATTTTTTATTTCTAGTTCCACTGAGAAAGTGGAATCATACAAAAGGCGCCACTCTACCAGTGAACCCGGGTTGAGTTACTTTATTATGTAATGGTTCTGCTGCAGATTTCATGAGGTATCGGAATTTGATGAAGCGAAAAGAAGTTGCCGGAGACGTCTGGCCGGACACAACGAAAGGAGGAGGAAAAATTCAGTTGATTCTCACTCAACAGAAGGAGGGTCAAGCAGGATAGGAAATCAAATTTGTGGGCAGGTTGATGACAGAGGAAGTATTCAGATAGCAGTTCAAGAAAATGCCTCTAATTATAAAAACTTCCATATCAGATAATTGTGCTGCTCAAGTTATTGCTCCCTCTCTTCTGTCAATCTCAGCATGTTTATCCCACTGTATTTATATGGAAGAATAAGCCCACTCGAGCATGTTGTAATGTTTAGTGGACAGTAATAAACACGGTCACTTCGTACAATAAACAAGACTGTATTGAATCTTTCTTACCAGACATGCTACTTAGTAGAACTCATTCACGTGTAGACTCGTTATTGCCTTTAATCTACAGTTTCAGCGCACCCATTGCATGCAAGTTATCTAGTGTAATCATTAATGGTCTGTATTGCATTATTGTACGAGTTTCTGTCATTTAAGAAGCTACCCGAGCTCGGCCAAAAAAAATGAATTTCCGCCCGAGCGGAGCTCGGACCGAGCCGTTCAGGATTTTTTTTTTAATGTCAAATCTACGTGTTTACTTAAAAAATTTAAAATTTGTACAGTTCATACGCACTATAAATTTAAAAAAAAAAACTCGGGCTCGGCTCGAGCTTTTTTGGGCCCGAGCCGAGCCGAGTAAATCCCTGCCAAAAAAAGAGGCTCGGCCCGAGCCCGAGTAGGGTCCGGCTCGAGCTTTTTCCGAGCCGAGCTGATGAACTTTTTTGTCATCCCTAGGCTCGGATCCAAAAAAGCTCGGCCTAAAAAAGATCGAGCTGAACCCGAGCGTTTTTTTTTTTTCGGCTCGGGCTCGGCTCGTCGACATAGCTACTTTGGCTTGTGTCCAAATTAGTTCACCAAATACATCATTGAGATTTCTTTGAAATTTTAAAACACAGCTAAGAATTGACCTTTTCTCACAATTTTCTTGCAACATTACGGAATAGTGCTTAGTATTTGAAAACTCCATGGTTTTCACATATCAGATTGATCTGGACCACATTTACATCTAGTACTTGAAAATCGTGTAAAAGTAAACGCATAATTCTCTCAAGAGCAAGCCATGCTTGCTGATGATCGGTGGAAAAAAAAATCACACGGGCAAGTCTCCTTCGTCAACTACAGCAAATGCATCATGTTCCATCTTATTATATCGTTACATGGCAAATAAATCTCCAACGAGAATGTTGTCATCAATTTCTGCCCGAGGATCCTTTCCCTCCATGGCAAAAACATCTCTTACAAACATGTTACTGCCATCAATGAAATAACGAAAAACAAGTAGATCGGCTGAAAAGGAAAAATAAACCAAGAACAAATAAAAAAATTGAACAAAATTTAGAATAATAAATCGATATTAAATAAAGTAGTCCTCAATAACGGCTTAAAAACAATGTGTTATTCACTCACAAATGTACGATGCCAATTACACGAGTAATAAAGTTTATTTTTTTCGATAACCGTGGATGTCCGAGTCAGTTTGCGAGCACCTCGACTAATCCCACGGAGCTCTGAAATTTATGATCGGGTACTCACCTCGATGACCTTGAGAAGACTCGGACGAATAACCATTGGAGAACAAACTCAAAGTCTGACCAATTGAACAACCCTTCAATGTTTACACAAATAATAAAGTGAACCTAAATTGTTCAAATTATCGCCCCCGCGAAGACTATCCATCAACTATTGATTTAACTATTCATAGCTTATATTCGGATAAAAATAATTTCAATTATTATCCTAAATATGATCAATTTACGAATATAATTAAAAAAAAAATGTTTAAATGACAATTTAGGGTTTAACTTCTTGTGTGAAAAGCTTTATGATTCACAAGTTCAACATAATTATCCCCTTTATCTCATCGCCAAATTCTAACAACAATCAATTATTTGTACCGATTGAATTCTTCTAAATTAATGATTTACCTCTCTTGAGTGCAAACCAATCTCATTAGATTAACTCAACTCAGTATTATTTCTTTGTGAATCATAATAAGATTTGATTAACAACATTCAATCATCAAAAAATTCAATTAAGGAATGCAACATTAGTACAAGTGTATCTCCACATTCTATCCAACTGAAATGAAATATTACTACCGGAATGGAATTGTACATCCAAAATAGTTATAAGAAGACATGATCCCAAGTCGACACTAATCAAATTAATAGTTATGAACAAAGTTGTCAACTTGAAACAAAGATTAAGGTCATTTGGAACAAATTAAACTCAAGTAATAAAGCCTCCATTTCGTAAAATTTATAAATGATCAAACTTCATTTTCAACCACATATTTTAATGAATATATAAGCACTATTTACTTATCCACCATTCATTTCTATCTATTTATAAATTTAACTGTTTACAAATCCATCCCAGTAGAGGCTAAAATGAAATTTCACTAAAAGTTCCAAGGACCACTAGCATTTTAAATTGATGCTCAACATATGTTGGGCAAGGAGAGGATGGAATACAATTGGACATGTTAAGCCCGTTTGACAACTATTATTTGGAAAAAACAGGGTTTTAAATAATGATTTTTAAGAGAATTGTGTGATTAAAAAGTATGAAAAAATTTTAAATTTACTTGCAGAATATTTTATCGTGTAACGTGTGATTGAAAATGAGAACGTAGAAAAAAGTGTCGTCTAATAATGATTGTCCAACGGGGGTTAAGAAAGAAGAAAACGTTAAGATCTTGTTCATTATACTATTGAGTCTAATCCACGGATAATACATATTAACTGAGTTTAGAAGATACACATCAAATTCACACAGGACCGAGTTACTGAAGAAAAGAAATATTAGGTTTGAAGATATGCACCGGAACTATTACATATTACGCTTCTGATAATGAAAATAAACCTAGTTCTGTGACCAGCACAGTAGTTGGTTAAGATTATGCCATCTTACATGTATGTTATTTTGAAGACTAAGAACTCTCAGGTTGAATGGATCCCACCCATGAAGGTCCTCGGATCAGGGCAATTGCCTGAGAACTGTGCCTGTGAGAAGTCGAATCCTGGATTCTGCATCGAGAAACTTTGCATTATAGAAGCAATGTATAGTCTGTAATAGGAAATTCTCAAGATATAGAAACCTAATGATATACAGGTGTAGGTAGATAATTTTTTTTGGCTTCTAGCTCACTCACACACCTGAGAAGACTTGATGTGACTACTATTAAAACTCCAATCAGGAAAGACTCTACAATCATTATGAGC